TAAAATTATATAAAGAAACTTATGCTGTTTGTAAATATATACATTTAGTAAGCTTAAATAAGGGCAAAGTAAGGTGAGCAATAGAGGGCATATTTTGATTAAAGAACTCGGAACTCTCAAGTTATTTGTCATGAGATGTAAGGTACACTTTTATATAACCCACGACAAAAAACTTTCAGACACGTAAGACAAACAATTTACTTTTAGCACGAATGTTGGTCCTAGTAAGTTTTGCACCTAGGATTCAAGTATATTTAGCCAAAATGCAAGTACGAGTACCTATATGATATAGTAGCACTGAACATTTCTTAATATTATTCTTAGAGACGTGATTGCTTTAAGGGGCTGAGCGCCGACACCGATTAAATTATTAATAGAAATTAAAAAAAAAACATCGTTAGAAAACTTGCATGTATGGAAATAAAATATTTCGAAGACATGTGGAGTATACCTAAATGAACTGAATATATAGACTTACTATTTACTATACTACAGAAAAATAGAGTACTAGATTACTTTACTGTCAGGCTTCTATATAGACTGTAACTTTTATTTACTTTTTATATTATTATTGTGTTTTATAAAGTAATTAGTGTTTCTAAATAACTTACCAGTCTGAAGAACATCGTTTATGTTTTACTTGCAGTGACTGTCAAGTGATACATATTAAACAACGCTCCCGGCTTATATATTGATTGGTGACGACCACGCCTCATACTGATCTTGTTGTAATATTATAAAAAGTGTCCTTGATCTTCAAAGTAACAACATGCAAATGTACTTCTTACTTAACAATTAGAATATGTAATAACAAACATCCGCGTTATATGCTTCACATTGCGACAAGTCCCCACTTTTTATGCGTTGATCTTATACAGGTTAATAATTCAACGATAAGCTCTTGCTTTAGCAAAGTTCGTATACATATATTTTCTATCGAGTTTTTTTTTATAGGATAAGGGTGACAAACGAGCACACAGTCCACCTGATGGCACTTACCATCAGGTGGACTGTGTGCTCGTTTGTCACCCTTATCCTATAAAAAAAAAAACTTGCTGCGGCCCATAGACATCTACATCTATTCTCTATTATAAATCTAAACGTAGATGCGTTGACACCTGTGAGGACTAAGATGGAATGCCTCATTTCCAGTAAAAAGGGCCTCCGGCCACCTGCGCTCACCAAGCGAAACGCAGAGGTAAACCTCTACTTCACGCTGGTTTTCTGTGAGGTCGTGGTACCACCCCGGTTAGAGCCGGCCCATCCGTGCGACAGCAAAAGCTGCCGCGTGGCTCTACCACTGTTAAAGTTTTTACACGTATGAGCTTATTTTTTACAATAACCTATAGTTTACCTCAACATTTAATGATATGAGATGAAAAAATAAGCGGCATCGATGTAAAGGATTCCATTCTTTTTTTAACTATTGTAAGGTCTTAAACTCTGGCTACATAGCAAAGCTCTTTAAAGCAAGCTTTTATATCGCTGATGCGTTGCACTCGCCAATCTTGGCAATTATTGTGAATACCAGCATAACCACAAAATAAATTTACACATTTCAATTATTTACAAGTTAAAATTACAATTACAATGAGTATCAAAGCGAACGATACACATACTTAATTTGGTTGCTGAGAATTTGGACTTATTTTCATGTTCATGGAGCGAGTTCGCAAAAGTGACATTATTTATAATGTTATTCTTAAATTGTGTTATATAATTGATTGTAGTGTGTTGTTGTTTAAATTAATTATTATGTGTTGTAATTAGTAATACGAGTATTATATTATTATCTTTTACCATTTCAATTGTTACTTTATTTTTTCTTTTTCTTTCTTTTGAATCTTTTTAAAAACGTTACCCCCACACTAGGATTTTCTCCTGTGTCGTGGAGGCAGTTTACAAACATAAATTGCACGAGGACAAACATCCAGACTCGGAACAATTATTTGTAGGCCATACAAATACTTGTTCCGTGCGGGATTCGAACTCGCAGCCCCCAGCGCAACGAATCATTGCTAAGCCACTGCGCCACGGAGCCGTCAAACTTTATGATTTATGATGACTTCCAATGACATATTTTGATTGCTTAGATTATTTACTCTCAAAAGATCTAAGTTTGATTGTATTATTATATTGATATTTGATTGTACTATATATTATTTTGAAATAAGATGCTAAATTTATCGATTTAGGTTTTTCCCTTTAATGGTAGATGTCAGTAGGAAATATAAATAAATAAATAAATAAATATTAAATTTCATATTTAAACGCCATTAGCTGGCTTCAAAAATAGAAGAAGCTTCTCAATTTGACTGTATTTTTTGCATATAATTAAGTGATATTTTCGCCAATGTTGAAAGTTTGAAAAATTTTTTTTTCAATAATATGATAAACTACGTGATAAAATCTACCCAGAAGACAGAGTGAGACAAAGTGTATCGAAGAATTAAAACCCTGACTACAGAAGTTATTAATTCATATGGAAATTATTTATTCTTATCACTTTTTATAAGTTGGTTTGTACTTTTTACGTTTAATAATTTTCTTCTCACTATATATTTATAATGTATATTAATGATCTCATTATGTTTAATATTAATTTGATCAGTAGTTACTCAAGGGCTCGCCTTAAGATTTCATAATATGCAAGTAAACTGAGTACCACTTAAAAGGGGCAAATAGCAATTTCACAACAGTTCAGTTGTGAAATTTTACGGGAAACGTTGTAAGATAATCTGCCTGTTTGAAAACCGTTGGCAGATTATGACGTTAGAGTATAAAGTAAGCCTAAACTGAAAACAATATTTTTGACTTTGAATTTTATTATAACAATCACTAACCCTGTACCCTATATCTGCTCTAATGCTTATGCTATAAAATGGTAATGTTTTGGTTGAATACCAGAGACACGGATTTATAATTTACCACCTAACCACTTTTATTTTGCGATGCTATATATAATGTATATTCAAATATAAAATGTGTAGCTTATCATATCTTTATAATTAGTAGTATCTTTATATGCTTTTACAGGCAAATGAAACACACGACAACAACCAAAAATAGTTAAGACGGGATCAAACCGTATGATGTACTATATTCGTCGGGTGACTCAAGCCACCAGACTTCTTCATAACAAAAATGTAAATGGTTAACTTATGAATTTCCATTATGTCGAACTTTGCTTTTTTATATAGAATTAGGGTGACAAACGAGCACACAGTCCACCTGATGGTTTGCGAATTAAAATGCAGATGCGTTGTCAGCCGTGAGGACTAAGATGCAATGCCTCTTTTCCAGTAAAAAGCGCCTCCGATTCTCTACACTCACCATACGAAACACAGCAGTTTTAAGCTGTATTTAACGCTGGTATTCTGTGAGAGCGTGGTCCTTCCCCGGTCGAGCCGACGCATTTGTGCTACAACTATACTATTAATATAGTTGCAGCATGGCTCTACCACGTTAAAAAAAAAGCTTAAAGTACTCATCGATAATTACTTTCCTTTTACTGTTATAGATAAAATAATAGAAAATAAAGATACAGAAATATACCATACTTGACTTGGTAATGCCACGATGCAACTATATTATTATGGCTGGAACACAAATGGGTCAACTCAATCGGTAAGGATCATGCACTCACAAAATACCAGTATTGATACCATCCCTATGGTGAATAAACGTGAACCATGATCCTTTTTACTAGTTCTTCTGTTCCATCTTAACACTCAGTGATGACAGCTATTCTGTATTTTAAAAACTTCGAGTATTATCATTAACATCATTACAGTCTATCAAGTATATTTGCCATAGTTGCCATTGTTGCCATGCTTGCCAGGTTGTTCGACAGACGCATATTTTTAATATTTAGAGTTGTTGTTCAAGAAAATCCTGCTGCCCATATTCTGTTTAAGTTTCCTTCTGTCGCTGCTTACGACACCAGACATCACGGAAGATATGGGGTAGAGTGACAGCGTAAGAGATATCTGTATATTATGCCGTATGCCGTATATGCCGGAAGTAAAATATCCAGAACTAAGTTACAAAACCTATACGGGTACATAGTATTAATATTACTGACACGTTATTACGACTAAGAATGACAAAAAATTTGATACGTTGTCCTTCGCAAAGTCTTTCAACTCGGGTATATCCTAAACCTAGCTATAGATAACCTATTCTACACACAGTAACTTAGCGTGATCATGAGTCATTATTTTATTGAATAAAAACGCTATTGGAGATAGTTACGAGGACTGTCTTCTTTTCAGCCGACATTTGTGTCAAAATAAAAGATTTATGCCGTCTTTATATTCATTTCGTAAAAGCAATTCCATTTCAATACATAATAGATAATATAGTAACAAAATGACAAACAAATCAAAAAAGCCACTATCATAGAAGATTCTATGGTAATAGCTCAAAAACAGTTTTTTATGGGTTGAACGGATCCTTTTTACGTAACCATGTTAATTTTATCCTTATATTATTTCCAACTATATTATTATAAAAAATGAAATGATCTACATATTCTACTGTTTTGTTTTTCTTATACAAAACTAGTATTATTAAAATTGCTAATAAAATATGTATCTAAAAATCTTTTTAGACCAGAAGTGATCGACAACACGATATTAGATGCAGATTTATATCTATATAAAAATCAATTTCTGTACGTTACTCGTAGTCTCGCTAAAACTCAAAACAGCTCGACCAATTTTGATGAATTGTTTTGTGTGTGTGTTTGAATGGGTTCCGATATGGTTTAAATTCACATTTCAACTCGGTAGGTGGCGCTGTTGTCTAGATCCAGTAATCACCTGTGCGAAGCTGGGGCGGGTCGCTAGTTTGTTTTTATAAAAAGAGGTAAAAATATAACAAAAAAACCAACATACGATCTTATAATATAATTTTAATACCAAATTCATGATGTAACAAAATTATCACGACATTAATATTCCTCAAAACCAAATACATATTACTTCGGAGTTGCTACTTCAATAGTATCCATAGCCAAAGCTATTATAAGGTGCTGCTCCGTACGTCCCATATCCATTATACGCGTAAGGGCTGCTGTAGCCGTTGTAACCGTAATATCCTGGGTATCCAGCGGAATATGTGCCATAATTATAACCAGGGTACAATTGAGGTCTCGCAAATGCCAATGCTAGGATAGCGAATAAAACAACCTGAAATTACAATAGGTTTCAGTATTTTTTTAAATATTATTATGACTAAAAATACTATTAATTTTAGTAGCTGGTAGAGGATTCTGCCTAAGTATACCCACTACCCGTATCTTCGCCTAAGCAGTGCACCCACTCTTGTCTCCTGTTAAAAGGGTAAGAGAGTAAATGTAATTCCAGGCTATGAGTCATTCCATCTCCAGGGTGACGAAGTATCTTAAGGTCTTCTTGCTTGAAGCTGGATAAAGGTATTTAAAAAATAAAACAACAAAAAATAAAAACATGCGTGAGTGTCGTGGAACACTCGATTGGAACGAAGTTCCGTAGTATTGGTAAACGTATTATATTATTGATTAACAAATACAAATAAATGTATTACTAGCGTCTATTTAAATGACGCGTAGTGACGAAAAAATCTTACACTTTTTGACGCCTAGCTCCCATCCGCCAAACCCGTACCGTCCGATAAAGAACTTCGTTCCAAAAAATATAAATATCATCAAAGCTATAAACATCTACTGCCGGGTATCACTCGCCTCTACCTTCGTAAGGAAGATTTACCTTAATCGCCGCTTGACAGGCGGATAAACGATCGCAATACCAAATGTTTAACACCTATGACGTCCTCGTAACCAGTCCGAGTATGAGTATTTATGATCATTTTAATATAATATTTATTGGTTCTAAACGATCGCAACACCAAACGTTTCGCACCTATTCGTCTTATTTTTTTCTGACGATGTAAAAGTATATAGATAATATCTTCTTTAAATACTTAACGATTGTTTATATGTAAACACTAATAGGGATTTAGTCATCTGTATGAGTTTGACAATCAGAGAACCGTCCATCATCCATGCTTTTACTCCCACGGTCTCTAGTTAATAGTGAGGCTGTTTACTAGTGCCAGATGGCATCAAATCCACAAAACGCACTATAGAAACAAAGCACCCGCAATGGCCTTCTAAACGCATTGTAATATTGGACTTAGTAAATTTTAAAATAGTTGTTGTAAATTAGTCTTACATAACCATTCTTAAACGATACTGTCACGTGGTAGCGACGTAAGAAAATCTATTATTATCAAATTTCGTTCCTTAGGCTTCGTAAAAGGTATATAGGAAAGGTCAGTAGTAATTCCTGATCTCTAATTCATGGTAGTTACACTATTTTGTATTTGCTAGATGTGATGTACCCAGACCTGTGTTTGATGTAATGCAAAAGATGTGAGACGTTTGGTACTATGATCGCCAATTCTCTTTCAAGTGACATATACGGCAAATTTTTATTACAGAGACAAAGACCCATTCCCAGCAATTGCTGAGTTTGTTGTTACTTTATATTATATAATAATTAAATAACTATTAGTCTATAATAGTTAATTAACTATTAGGGACTAATATAGAGGAAACAGATGTGTATTTCGTTCGTTCCAGTAAACAAATATAACAAGATATTATTATAAATTTCTAACAATATCTAGCACATTTATTATATATTAATTAATTACAGCCTATCAAAAGTCCACTGCTGACCACAGGCTTTCACCGTGGATTGCCTTATAGGGGGGATATTTGCAATCGTTGCCACAATTGGCAAGCGGCTTGGTAACCGCAGTTTTGCCCAACTCCTACTTAATTATCCTCTATCGCCTGTTACGGGATATACATAATACCAAATTATTTATATTATTTAACGAGACGGCGTTCCTAGTGGCGGTGTAAGAATATCCACTACTCCATATCGTTCTGTGGGTGTCGTGAGAGAGTCGTGGTGACAGAGGGAAACAAACCTGGAGATGGGTAGCAACGTGTTCCTAATAACAACTCAAAGTAAAAAACTGCGGTTGCCAACCCGCCTGCCAAGCGTGGCAACTGTGTCAAATATCCCTCTATAAAGCAATGCATGGGAGAGGCTAATGTTAAGCAGTGGACTTATGCTATTTTAGTTTTTCATTTGTGTTGATATCTTTTTTAAATGTGACTGACAGTTGCAACAAAGTTACAAAGAATTTACATCAATTATTATTCATGACTTGAGAAACCCGGAGCTTATTTATCGCATTATAATATTATCGTTACACTTATTCAAAGATATTCAAGCGACAATACTTTTATGGATAACCATAACTGATTACTAATATATTTTCAATGCTTATGTAAATAATAATTTGCTCATTCCGCCGCACTTTAAAAGCGTTTCAAATCATTATTTTAACAATTAATACCTAGACTTTTATTTGCTTAGACTAAAGACAATAAAAAATTCTCACCAGTTTACCGATCATTTTGTGAACTGCGTATCTTCAATTGCTTGTACTGATTCTTGTATCACACCCTTAGCCTTTTGAAACTGTACTACTTATTTTTTTTATTTTCGTCAATACTTATAGAGCCTTCGTGTCCTTGGATCGTGTTCGACCATAACAGAAAAACTACACAAAGAAACTCATTGGGAATGAATGGTATATTACGAGTGCAGACAAACGTACTGGATACGAGATCTACATTAGCAATTAGGTCCCCTTTGTTTCGATTCAAAATATCAACATTACAAATAAGAAACCTGCTACGAAAACAATCTTGACTTAAAAGGCCATAAAAAATCAATATGTAACTTCAGCTTCGGAGGCGACTGTTTTATAATATATATATTAATATTAAGAATGAGACACGAATAAAGTTAAAAAAAACTTTAAATAAAATAACAGTCGACTTCAAAAAACAAAAATGAATAAAATTATGTCCACACAACGGCTTCAGAAGTCGATGCTAAACATAGTTTAATGAAGAATTAAAGTGCTTACTACTAAATCGCGCTATCAAAGTTCCGAAGTAAAGCAGTATATATAGAATAGCTCGGAACTACGAACTACCACTAGGGTCCCCGTTTTCCCTAAAAGGGGTCGCTTCCGATTCGGCAGAAAGGCCATACAGGCCAATGCCAGTTCCAGGTGGTGTTTAGTGGGTAGGGACTTACGTTTGACAGTGAGTCCCACATAACCACGCAGCCGGCTGTCGTGGTATGTTTAGATTTAGAGCATTCACCACATCCCTCCCCCACTTCCCCGAGGGTAGCCCTTTTCATTGCTTCTAGGCGAAAAACAAAACTACCACTAGGAGCGTTGGCCACTTCCCGGGTAGAACACCATGCCGGGCAAGAGATGTCCTATTTTCCTTTAACGGCCTAAACAGCTTATCTCGATATATAAAAATCAGTTGCTGTCCGTTAATCTCGCTAAAACTCAAAAACGCCTCGACGGATTCTGTTGAAATTTTCGGTATGTGTTTATATGGGTATCTAGAAGGTTTAGATTCTCATTTGGACCCGGTAGGTGGCGCTGTTGTCAAGATTCAGAAATCACCCGTGCGAAGCCGAGGCGGATCGCTAGTTTAATAATAAAAATAATCAGTTAAACCACCGTTTACGAGAAATCGCTGAGAATATAAATAAAAAACACGCGGTGAATATACAACCTTCTTCTTTCTTGATGACGGTTAAAATAATTACATAATACATCAAATCTATAAAGCTAAGCTTCTGATATCTTAGTAACTTATTGTATCCTACACATAATAATTGTCACATGGATGAATAGTAATAACAAAGATCAAGGCTGTTATGATTGTATAAAAAGCCTTGTTACTTCTTAACTTGTATGATTCAATAAGGAATCTGTTACATACAACATCATGTTAACTAAGATTGTAAGTATCGTTATAACTATTTAGTTTTCTCAAGGGTTGTGTTTGAGTAAACATAAGTACCATGTTAGTAATTCACTTATTGTTTTATCATATATAAATATATTACATCATTTTCATTTCAAAGAAACAAATCAACAATCAGTTTCAATTCACGTTGAATAAGCATGGCGATCTCGCTTTCAACAATTTGAGCAGACTGTATGCTCAGTTGTGTAACGTTTGTGAATTGTTACTTTATTTTATTACAACGAGTAAGCTGAACACTTTGCTTTAACGATATCATTTACAACAAATATCTGCTGACCGGATGAGGAAGCTCAAGGTCGCTCAGCGAGCTATGGAGAGGGCTGTGTTCGGCGTTTCTCTGCGTGATAAACTTAGAAATGAGGATATCCGCAGTAGAAACAGTGACCGACATAGCCCAACAGATTAGTAAGCTGAAGTGGCAATGGGCCGGCAAGATGGAGTGACGACCTGGTAAGACATGCAGGAAGTCGATGGGTTCAGGTGGCTCAGGACCGTGCTTTGTGGCTTCCTTGGGGGAGGCCTATGTTCAGCAGTGGACTTGTCAAGGGCTGTAACGATGATGATGATGATGATGATGATCGAATTTCGTGCACTAATAAGAACGTAATCCACTTTAAATGTAAATTTACTGTCTCGATGCCACTGCAAAGCACAGGCCTCTTCTCATTTTTAGAGGGTTATGAAGCAATTAGTTCTTTGAGCTGCACCAGTGCGTGTTGACAGACTTCACAACTTTATCACCTTCACTTTATACCTCATACATGTAGGTTTCCTTATAAACAAACTAAATCATAAAATTTATTTTGTTTAGTAAGTACTAATTCGTGTATTTTTACAGTTTGGCATTTTTGCTCTTCTGGCGTTAGCAATGGCAGCGCCAAAACCAGAGCCGTCACCACAAGTTATTTCATACACAGCGGGATTTGATTACGTATATCCTGGCTCATCTGCGGCAGTCATCTCGCCGTATTCTGTGCCATACACCTACTCTGCTTTGCCTTACGGTACCGTGTACCTTCGCTAGAACCAAGATGATTACTGACAACGAAATGCATTAACAATCTGGACATTGATTTTACAATCTTTTTGTAACAAAACATTATTTCGAATAAAATACTTTTTTCATTTCTTTGTTTAATTAATTTAATGTTATAATATTAAATGGTAATATGTGGCACTCATTGAGGGTGCATGAACCATGTTCAGCATTGGACTTGTGAACGGCTGTTACTGTACATCACACTCGTATAGTATACCAGCGTAAATAGGTAGCTGAGTTTCGTGAGTGATCGCAACCAGAAACCTTTTTAAGTGTAAATAGGCATTCCATCTTAGTCCTCAGAGGTAATAACGCATCTGTATTTAAATTCTCACTTAAATCGAGGATAGATATAAGTGTCTATGTACCACAGCATCCACTCACCATCAGATGGGTTTTGTTATTGCTTGTCACTCAAAACTACTAGACTAGACTTTTTAATATTTTAGAGTCTACAGTGTTAAAAAAATAACCGGCCAAGTGCGAGTTGGAATCGTGCATGAAGGGTTCCGTACCATCGTAAAACACGTTTCTGGTAGGGGAGCACCCTTTGATATTTAATTTATTTTTATTTTTATCACATTCTGTGAAAATTTCATCTGTCTACCTATTACCATGAGATACAGCCCGCTGACAGACGGAGGGACGAACGGACAGCGGAGGCTTAGTAATAGGGTCCCGTTGGTTACCCTTTGGGTACGGAAGCCTAAAAATCAGAACTATTATATTATTTCTTCCTTACACATTTTAGGCTAAGTTGGTAAACAGCAAGGAAACGCAGCGAAAGTTCTGTGCAATATACCAAGAGGAGTGGAGTTATGCCATCTAATTCTTGTTTGTTTTCATCAGACCGTAAAAGTCCACTGCATTTTGCAGGGAAAGCTTTCATCAATTGTTACCTACTGTCACCTTTAGCAGACTGATTTGCTTGGCAGACGATCGCAGTACCAAGCGTCCCGTACCTCTGACTATACGGGACGTCGCTGGTCCAAGCATTTTAAGTCTGACGTAAAAGAAATGGTGGTGCTGCCATCCACTGTTGGAAGCCATAAGATTTTTCTGGCATTTTCCAAAGTTAGTCTTTAAAGAAGAAATAAACTAACATTAAGCTGGAATATGCTTCAGTCCAGAACGACGAACAACCCTTTTGAGTTTTATAAGGTCACAGGGGCGTTTGATCAGAGAAACGCAATGTAAACTCTTTGAAAATTACCTATATTATTTGTAACTCAGTTCATGAGGACAACTAGTACTTAATATTCCTGCATCGCACTATTGACTACGCTTTGAATATTTACTTTGACTCATTATAAAAGTATGTATTACATTTTCGCTCTTTTGTGAAGTGTACGCTGAATTATATCACAGCGCAATGCAAATACACTTTTAAATATAAAAATTTGATATCAATTGCGTACTTTAATCACACTATACTACACAATCCCACAATCTATGCATTTTTGTGGTGCACTTTACTGAGAAACTATCACACTTTCAGGTTTGGGGTTTAACATAGTATTATCGATTCATTTCTAGATGTGTTATCAATCATAAAAATATATTTTATCCATATTAAAAAAAAAACAGAATAAAAACATAATAAATAACAATTTTATTGTATTATTAACGCCACCTGTAGCAAAACTAAAACATACTTTTATAGTAATACCACGTTAGATGGCGCCGTTTATGAATTATGAATGGGCATAACTTGATGAAAAATGTCGGAAATTTTAATTATATCAATGTTATTGTTACATCAAAATGCTACGAAGACGCACGGTAACTGGAAAATGGTAAATAACGTGAAAGAACCCGTTCTTTGATGAATGTAAGACAAAGTCAGAACAGAGCTCGAGACGCAGAAAGGCGTAGTATCCTCTTAGTACTCTGTGACGCAGAATTAAATTTTTATCGTGAAAATTCTCGCTTTTTGGAGTATACCGTTAATTTCGAAACTGCTCCGAAAAATTTAGAACTGAAATACTATAATTTATCTCATCGTCGTTGTTTTGATTTACATATTGAAAAAGATGAACTTTGTACTCTTTGTCACAAATTTCAAGTAAAAAATTAATTAAATATATTTTCTGTAATGATGGATCCTGGACCAAAACCTGATGTTTTAACATTTCTTGAAGAACAATTAATCTCTCGAGTTCACCCTGTTATTACAGTATATAGACTTAAAGGTAATCAATTCGAATACAATGGCCAAGTTATCAACTTTCATCAAGATTTCACAGATTACTATACCCTTACTTCATTCTATTGATACTATTTCAAATATATTTTTGTTAGAAGAAATTGTGATATAAAATTTATTGTTAATCGTGATAATGCAGCTTTGATACATCTTAAAAATAATATTCCTTGATATCGTGATATTACAATCGATGAAAACAATTTACAATTTTTATCTGATAATGGGAGTGTTGTTCAACATATTGTATCAAGTCAAGAAAAACAACATCTTTCATTTAATTTAGATAGTGAAGATGATGATCAAAATACATTGTAATGTATATGAATCTGGCGCCCCAACAGTGACTTTTCAATATAATCGTAAAGCAGTGAATATTGTACTGAACATTAAAGAAGCAAATGATGGATCATGCGTTTTACCTTGGCCTAGATTGCATTCTGAGCAAATACTGAATTTACATGTGATGGAAATATTTGCAGAGCTTTTACAACTTTATTTCCTACTGATAAAGGTGACTTTAGAGATACACGAGTTTGTAAAGTTTCTAATAATGAATATTTTAATTCCTCAAGATGTATGAAGACGGCAGGTTTTCAAGAGAACCAAGATTTCGACTTTATGCCTTTAATAGTATGCTGCGTTAAAGAGCTTTAGATATTGGAAGTAATTGTGTAAAAAAAATTCAATTTTACATAATGTTGAAACAATTGAACAGCTTCATTGCAGCAAAACCCATTATTGTATAAAACAATTTTATCATATAATTCTAATTTGAGGCCATATAGCTCATATTGGTATGCAAGATCTAGAGAATTAGTGGATATGATTGAAGAATTTGGTAGTCCAACAGTATTTATGACATTAAGTGACTTATATTGGCCAGAACCATATCGTATATCGTGGTAGAGCCACGCTACAGCTATATTAGTGGTACGGTTGTAGCACGAATGGGGTCGGCTCAAACGGGGAGCACCACGCTCTCATAAAATACCAAAGTAAAATAGCAGCTTAACATTGCTGTGTTTCGTATGGTGAGTGTAGAGAATCGGAGACCCTTTTACTGGAAAAGAGGCATTCCATCTTATTCCTTACGGGTGACAACGCATCTGCATTTTTAATTCTTTATTTAGGATAGATGTAGATAGGTGTCTTTGGGTCACTGCAACCACTTACCATCAGGTGGACTGTGTGCTCGTTTGCACCCTATCCTATAAAAAATTATGAATATAATTTTATGTTAATCTAAATTATGAAATTCAAATTCTATGACAGTTTCTTACTTTATTCATAAGCGATTAGATTTATTTATGGAGATATTTATTTTGTTAAAAAAAACTTTAAAGTCAAGGATTTTTGGTTCCGTATTGAATTTTAGCACAAATGTAGTCCTCATATGCATATTATTTTCTAGTTTGAAAATGCTCTGGATCTTAAGAATCTCAATCCAGATGATAATGCAAAAATTCAAGATATCACAAATTATTTCGATCAATTCATATCTACACAGTACCCAGATCCTTCTGAAACATATGATACATATCCATGATTTGTCGTATGAATTATTTACAGAAGTCCATGTTAATAACCACAATAAATGTTAATTATCTTAAAAAAACTGCCTTCAAAATTACTAGGTAAAAAACTTCCTTCAAAATTACTATACTAGAATTATTTTGTCCGTGCAGTTTGGGTCATAAATTATCGAAGTATTTCTCTCTCTTTCCCACTCACGGGCCTTAGGGGCGAGCATAGTGATGCGCATTATTGTTGTCGATAAGCGTTATCGATAGAGTGTTTAGTTTTGTCATTACGTGGGTTAGTGATAAAAATGAAAAAAAAATTAGATAACGTATTTATTAAAATAAGAATAATAATGATTGAAAATAAATTATTAATTAGGTATCTGTGTATAAAAAACTATAAGTACACATGTTTATAATGTAACAAGTTATATTAAAAATAAATATAAATATAAAGATAATAAAAACCACGCACAAACGATGTCAGTCCTTTCCATCAATTGTTTACGACCATCTGGAGCTTGCATATACTTGTACACAAGTTCTATGAGTATTTTACGGATAGAAGAAATAGAACACTGGAGAGCGTCAATTCTTTCTTTTGCTGTACTCAAAATTTTAGCTGTGGAAGTATATTCACCGAGGCGATAAAACGATGGCACTATTTGTTTAATTACACTTTTGTCAAAGTCGTCTAACGCAGGTACTGTACAAGGCCGAGAGACGCTTTCACGCGGAGAGCTAACTTCTCCCTTTATACACTTTATTTTTATTTTTGTCGACCGCTCTAACACTAACACCACATATCGCCGCAGCATGTTCACGAGAACGGCAGAAATTAACACTTTGTAACTTTTCGGGATATATTTTCATTTCAGTGAAAAATGTTAAAACATTGGAGATAACAACACGTGCTTGTGCTGGTATATTTGTGCCAATAGGCAAAATATTATTTTGAATACATTTTGCCGTTTTGTTACAAAACAAAGGAGTAGGCATTGTGTCACTAAAGAAATTCAGAGAGCGAATGCGAAAAAACAAATGTCTCTTCGAAATACTAAATTATTATTGCACTAATTCGCAGGTATTAGGCGGGGGTAATAATAGAAAACAAATGACTCATAGCATAATAATGTTGCTCTACCCTTTGTATACTGCACCGCCGCTGTGTACCTGCCTTCGATGATTCAATTGTTGTTATCGATAATGGCACATGCTCACCACCCTAACCGGGCTGAGGCCGAGCTACGATTTATGAC